GGACTGAAACATCCACAATGGCCTCTGGTATCATAGGCAGCCTCTCTTCAGCAGGGTAGCTAGACCTTTCACCTTATGGCTGGCTCCAAAGACAGAAGTAGAGACAGATGCCGGTTCTCTTAAGCCCACAGTCTAGAAATCCCAGATAGTTGCTTTCATGATATCCACTAATCAGTCAGTGCAAGGCACCAGGCCAGTCCTATCCAGGGTGAGGGCCCTTGGGCTGAGCTGGGTGTAGCAGCATTCACATACAGGAGAGGGGGCAAGAGGAAGTGATGGCAGACACTTCTGGGAGCCCTCTACCAAAGGACTGTCTTCTCTAAACACATGGACTCACCACTTCAGCTAATTACTGAAGAACAGAGAGAGGGTATAAATACTGTGATTTATTTTACATGAGATAACAGTATAGACTGTAACTTACTAAGTCCAAAGCTACATAAGAAAATCCAAACGAAACATTAATCTAGTTTCATGTACAACTCAATGTCATATGGTACTACCTTCATGCACTGTACTGTAAATACCTCCAGCCCTCCATAGGCCATTAGGGAGGAAATCAAATCTAGACTCAACAGCTGTCCGGCACGTACCAGGCACCTAACAGACTGTTCCTTCTTAGTTATCAAAAGTGTCCCTATTAAAAAATACAGATTTCTTTTTTCCTTAATATCAGACAGAAAACACTTGTAGATTTTTCCATGTAAATTTCAAAATGTGGCAGAAATATGCTATTGCTAATACTTTAAACAGTTATATGCTAAGAAAAAAAATAGTTTTAACTATACTGTAGATACATGCTAAATTTATCTTGAAAATCAGAGATTTAGGGGCTGGGATTGTGGCTCAGCGGTAGAGTGCTCACCTAGAACATGTGAGGCCCTGGGTTCGATCCTCAGCAACACATAAAAATAAAATAAAGATATTGTGTCCAACTACAACTAAAAAATAAATATTTAAAAAAGAAAATGAGAGATTTCATAATCGTGTGCAATAAATTTCCTGTGAGTTCTTTTGTTGTTGGTGGTAGTCTCTAATTCTAGACCTTCAACTTGCAATGAGAAATACTCATGCTTAGACCAACACTTGTCTTACAATTTTGGATGGCTCATTTTCTAACTGAAAAGACCTATTTTAATAAGCAGATATGGGGGCTGGGATGTGGCTCAAGCGGTAGCGCGCTCTCCTGGCATGCGTGCAGCCTGGGTTCGATCCTCAGCACCACATACAAAGAAAGATGTTGTGTCCGCCGAAAACTAAAAAAATAAGTATTAAAAAATTTTAAAAAAAATAAGCAGATATTTTCTTCTTTCGGAACTGATAATTCTCATTTGCTCAAAATATTTTTAAAAATCCTTAAGTGAAGCAAAAATATCCCTCAGTTACCTAAGATTACTTAAGTCTAATCATAATGCAATGAAAACAACTTTTAAAAACCACCTAAAAATCAACATCAAAATGTTTTTAAGGACCCAGAAGTGTTCAAAAACAATAATTCCAGGAAAATGATGGCTTTACAAAATTTTGTGTTAAAAGTTTCTTATCATCTCACAAATATCTACAAAAAAAAAAAACCCTAACAATACTACAAAATTTAAGAATCATCTCTCCCAAGAAGATAAAATACGAATACAATACACTGGAAAAATTAAATACTGCTTGGATGACTTATTTGAGTCCCAAATAGTCTTTCCACTGTGGGCTAGAACCTAGTTTTATAGGTTTTGATAGTGTTTCCAAAATCCAAACAGATACTGATTTGAAAGATTGGGAAATGAGAGATTAGAGTCCCTGAAAACCTAAGTTATTCTTAAATTCTTTCCATGGTCTTCATACTTTTTACTCACTATTATGGATATCTTAAAGATTATCTAACAAGTAAGAAACACTAGGTTTAGTAGTATTTACAAAGAACTCTGACGAATATTAAAACACTGGAAAGTGCCAGTGCACCTTATTAGGCAGGCACTATTTCCAATAACCTAATGTGCAGATCTTTTAGCAAGTTAGCAGCACTATACAGAATCACAAATTGAAATTGCCAATTCGTGTACTTACTTTGTTTCCAAACCTTATTACTTCTTGGAACATAACTCATGTACTTTGTATCTAAACTTGCTAACACTGATTATATTTTCATGGCTATTTACACTGTTGACAACAGACCCCACAACCACCACCACCACAGACACAACCCACACGAGAAACATCCACAGCAAGACCCACTGACCCAATGATGGCGACTGCTCCTGCCAGACTGAACAGCACAGAAGGCATTTTTAAAATCTTTAATTTAAACAGAGATATGAACTGACTTCAATTTCCAGCAGAGTTCTTCTTAGGAAGACTAGAGAACATAAAACATTTAATCTGGACCACAGCCAAAAAATCTTGAGTTCAACATCTTCATGAAGAAAAATAAGATGGACATCATTATCCTAAGTACATGTATAAAGTCACGAATGGTGTGAATCTACTTTGTATACACCCAGAGACATGAAAAATTGTGCTCTATATGTGTAATGTGAATTGAATTGCATTCTGCCATCATATATAACAAAATTTTTTTAAAAAGCCAAATTTATAGAAAGAAAGAACAAAATGATAATACTAGGGGCTGGGGGGTGGTTAAAATCGAGTGTTGTTCAAAGTGTAAAAACTTTCAGTTAGATAGAAGGAATAAGTCCAAAATACCTATTGCAGAACATGAAGATTATAACTACAAACAATGCTTTATATACTTGAAAATTACTAAGACAGCAGATTATGTTTACCACAAAGAAGAATGTGAAGTAAAGCACATGATTTTTAGCTTGATTTAACCATTTCACAATGTACACATACTTTGAAGCATCATGCTGTAAAATATAAATATATGTAATTTTATTTGTAAATTAAAATATAAATTCAGGAAAAAAATAAAGAAAAAGGGATGATGAAATTAGATTAACTTCCACTAGTGACAAGTGTGTGTGTGTGTGTGTGTGTGTGTGTGTGTAAAGAAATGGATTAAAATACAGAGCAATTTAGAATTTAGTTAGACAAAAGGAAAGTACAAGAGAAAGGCTCTAACACTAAACATATAAACTAGGCATTTAACACTGTGACATTAAAGATGAAGGCTAAGAGATGAAGTCCCTGAGTCTGGTATAAATACTTATGTTTAATGGGTCATGTGCAAGTATTCCTTGAAGGAGAGCAGCCAGAGCTTTCCCTGAGGCTTGTAATTGTATGAATATTTGAGTTTTCTCCCCTGAACTAAGTTAGATTTGGTACTGTAACAAGGATAGTAAGCTAAGAGAAAATACTAATAAAATTAGTAGCAAGTAAGTGTTTGGGGGCAAACAGAAATATAGTCATGTTTTTCCTTCTGCACAGAACATTTGTTTAAGCCTATCAAGTAAAACAATAATCAGGTATACAGATCATTTTTGAAGACAACCAAATCCAAAAGCTATCTACCTACAATGTATGCTTAAATATGAGCTCAAGAGAGAACTCCCAAATACCTGTGGGACACCTTGATCAGACTACTACAGTGGACTGTCAAAACCCAGCAAAGTTCAATGCTCTATGTTCATCCTTCTCTCAAAGTCAGCCTTACTTTTAGAATCCATAATTTCTGAAAATGGAACCATCAAATCTTTAAAACCATGATCATGTGAACAATCACTAAGTTATACGAATTATTCCTTTGAAGAATGCTGGGGGGGGGGGGGACAGGGAATTTAAGAGATACATCAACCAAATATAATGTATGTCCTTTATTTGAGTCCTAAACCAAACAAATTTACTGTGAAAAGCATTATGAAACAACTAAGGAAATATGAACATTGATAAGGGAAATATGAACACTGATGACATTTGGAAACATTGTTAATACTTTTTAGGTGTGATGGTGAGATTGCAGTTGTTTTCAAAGCATCCTTACAATTTAGAAATAAATACACACTAAAATATTTACAAATGAAAGGATCTTTTTGATTTGGTCCAGATGAATTCATAAGAAGGTAGAGATGAGGATGGGATAAAGGAACGATGAAAAAAAATGTGTGAATAATTGCTGAAGCCAGATAATGGGCACACAGGGGCTCCAGGATACTTTTTATTTATTTCAGCATGTTTTTAAAAATATTTATGATTTAAAAAATCATATTTCTGCATGTGGACAATTTACATATTCTATTTATACAGCTCTCTGACGTGTGACCCATCAAGACTCCCAGTTGCCTGTGTTCCTTGGACCACATTTCAGGGTCCTTCCTACTCCTCATTACTCTCCCTCCTATGAGTACATCACAGGCACTGTTACTGGCTCCTTCATGCTTCTCCATCATACCTTCCCTCTTTTTTTTCCATGGTGATGGTGCTGGGGATTGAACCCAGGGCTTTATGCCTGCGAGGCAAGCACTCTACCAACTGAGCTATACTGTCAGCCCAAACCTTCCCTTGTCTTGAGCCCTTCCTTTTCTCCTCTTCCACACCTTGTGGAGCAAAACCCCACATCCTCCCAGGCCACTCACCCACCAACGCAAGACCTGGTTTTATGTTAAATGCCCCCAGCTCCACCTAGACCACAAGTTCTAGGTGGAAGATTCATGCGTGCATCTTCCTGCACCTGCAGAGCTAATAACACCAACTGTGCTGGTGGTAGTGGTGGTGGTCACAGCAGGTGGAGGAAGAATCTGCTCCCTGCACTGCTCAATCCTCCACTAGTACGTAGCAAACATCAAAGAGTTTCACTAACAAGAATCATAAAACCCTTTTTTAAAGGAAATTCTGAAATATGCTTAAAACTCATAATGGATTATAAAGTAAGAGCAGTAAAAACTGTGGTTCTCATTATAGAAAGTTTACTTTTTGAAGCAGCAAAGAGATTTACTTATTAACCCATTCATCCCTCCTTCAAAGCTCCAAATCCTGTGCCTTGAGATAAAAATTTTATTAAAGATTCATTTTTATATAATGAAAACAGACACACATACACAAATCAACTTTACCTTATATTTCATCTTGGGACATGAATGTATGTAAAAACCCATATAGTAGTAGCACAGTTGAGATGTTTTCTCCTGAAGTTGCCTAGTAAAAGCAATTTCTCTGCCAAAAGAAAAAGAAAGATGAAGATACAGTTAAAACAAAAACAATGATATAATCTGTTAATAAATATTTTTAAAAATCTGATATTTATAATAAAAAAATCCAAATCTTGAAAGAAAAATAATTTTCAAAACACTCTTAAGATAATTTTTTATTAAAGAGATACCCTATAATCCTCTAAAATTATTTTAAGCAAATATACTTAAGTTCCGGTTTCACTCTTCATTAGGCAAAACAGTTCATGCAAAATTCAAGAAGCATAAAATTAAACTGATCTACAGTGTCACATTATTCATTTTGCTGGAATTCTCAAAGAATATGAGCTTAGCAGGTTAAAGATAGTTAAATAGAGCAAATTTGAGAACATTCAAAAGCTAATAAGTTTCAGAAAGAATAACTATTATGCCCATTTACCTGCAAACGTGTTCAGCTGTATGAGACATATAACTCGTTCCCGTATCTACATGCAAATCTGATACATGTTTTCCCTAAACCAGAGAGGGAAATACTATGCTCTCACACCATGTTTCCTCTGTTTGTTGGCATAGGCAAGGGCTGCCTCAACAAAGAAGTTACCATGGTGTTCGCCGCAATGCCTTGGCATGGCATGGTTATAATTTAAATCCAGAAAGATCTTGGCACAGAATTTTCACCCTACTTGCCCAGCTAAATGACTTGTTTTGTTGTATCTGAGAGTTTTAAGTAAAACCTAAATACATTTCTAATGCATGTTTCTACATTTGTTTCTTGAAGGCTTTCGTTCTTTTTTCACTTTTAGAATCAGTGGATGCTTGAAATTTAGAAGAAATATATTTAATGGAATATTCTGTGTATTTTTAGTTCAAATTTAAATCTTTGAAAGACTGTTACCTCCCCAAATTCAAAATATTTCTAAATCCAAGCCAAATAAACACAATAAATCTTACTATTCCTAGAACTAATACGCTTTCAAGATTCAACCAAGAAAATGTATGGATATAAGCAAATATGAGACCACCCAACCCCTTGAAAGGTACTCCTTTACTTGGTTCTGCTCATCTCAGTTCAGTGTATCACTATGCCCCAAATCTATGAGTCATTCATAACTGTTCTTTTTCTCTCTTCCCTATGCCCAATCCATCAGTAAATCATGTGGATTCTGTCTTCAAAATATACGGATTCTGGCCACCTCTTATCACCTGCATCTCAGATATTCTAGTCAAAGCCACCATTTATGTTTCCTCTGGATGACTACAAGTAGCACCCCAATTGGCTTTTCTGTTTCTACTCTTGACTCTCCAGTATCTCCAGAGCCAAATAATCTTTTACAGTACTAAATCAGATCAGGTAACCACCCTAGTCACCCGATCCTGTACTGGATAGTATCACACATAGATAAAATCCAACCTCCTACCATGACCTGGCTCCACTGGCCCCTCTCTGTCCTCCATGTATCTTTATGTCCTTCCCTAACCTTAGCCAAGGAGACTCCCCCAGGGCACTGGGACTTGTGATCCCTTTCTCTGGACTTCTACCCTCAGAGTTTTACAAGACTGGTTCCTTTTCCTCTTCTGCTCCTAATATGTCACCTGTTAATAGAAGAAGTCTTTCCTGACCGCTCAGTATGAAACAGGTCTCATGCCTACCACCACTGCTGATTTTGTTTTGTCACAGTTCTATGAAGAATCTAAAATTAAGTTGTCTGTTTTCTAATCTATTATTTACTTTGACCAACTGGAAGCCCTTGTCTATCTTATTCATGTCTATGAAGGGTGCCAAGACACACAGATTAGATTCTGTGCAAGTAAACATGTTAAATGTATTGGTTGCATCACTAAACTTCATCTTCTTAAAATATAGAGTAATGCCAAGCTCATGATCTTCAATTCAAATACTTTTAACATCTGCAGTTTAAGTTATATAAAAATCTACAAGTATAGAACTCTATATTGACTATAGGATTGCTTAAGAAACTGGAAAACTACCCAAACAGCTTCCACCAAAATGTGTTAAAATCAGTAATACAATTAGCAATGTGGAACCTACTCTCCAATTGTGCTCTATGTTAGTCTCCTCTTCTACAAGACTCAGCTACTCCCTTCAAGAGCACCAAGGTAGCACAGGGCTGCAGTGCAGAGGCAATCTCCCCACTGCTCCTCTGCTTCCTTGCAGCTCTATAGTTCTAGGCTTGGTGAGAGACACACCAAGGAGCAGACAGAACTCCTTCCAATCTTGCTGGAAATGATGACTATCTCGAATGCACCAGGATAGTTAAACATCTCTCAGTTTACTGAGCCATGAATATTTCATCAATAGGCCAGGATTTATTATGTGGGATTAAATATTATTGTTAATATCCATCTGAGAGGTCTGGAAAAATTCACAAATATGCATTGTAAAGTGATAGATATAAGAATTAAAACAAAAAAGAAAATGGCAATCATTTAAAAGTAAATAATTCTGATATAAATAAATACAAACTTCAAAAGTTATATAAATTTCTAAAGTTTTAAAATGTAAATGATCTAAATTATCAGTTCTAATTCAAGTGAAATCCAAATGAGCTATGAATATCTTTTATTATATTTTACAAAACAAATGCAATTACACAAGAAAATAAAAGATTAGTAAAGATCAGATATAAATATTGTATAATTGTGAATTTGTTATAAATTGGTATTAAGAGAAAAGCCATAATGGAAATACTTGATGGAGAACTTTTTATTTTGTGAACCACTGAAACATATGCAAATATAAAAATCAATTCTTTTTTTTTTTTTTTTAATCAAATTACTGCCAGGCATGGTGGCACATACCTGTAATTCTAGCGGCTTGGGAGGCTGAGGCAGGAGGATTGCGAATTCAAGTCATCCTCAGCAATGGCAAGGCGCTAAGCAACTCAGTGAGACCCTAAATAAGTCTCAGTGAGTCTAAATAAAATGCAAAATAGGGCTGGAGATGTGGCTCAGAGGTTGAGTGTCCCTGAATTCAATCCCCAGTAGTGCTCCCCCCCCCAAAAAAAATCATACTGCTTAGACAAAAAACAAACAAAACCCAAAACCAACAGACAAGTACTATATGATGTATACTGAATTGGATCCATAGCACAACTTAACAATGAGACAAGAGGGCAGGGGGAAATGCTGGAACCCAACTCAGAGAGTCAGCATTCAGGTGAAACAACGGCTAGTGATTTATTAGAAGTCAGAAGAAGAAAAGCAGAAATGGACCACACCAGTACCCAAGGTGTGGCTGCATGGTAGGGAAGGGGAAGCCCCCTTCTGGAGAACTGAAATAAGGGATCATAAAGAATTGCAGAAGCGCAGACTACATTGCAGGACAGGTATGCAGCTGGAACAGAAAGGGGATCAGATGCAACCCACAGAGACTGTGTGGTTGAACAGCACCCTGCACCTTCAAGCACTGCCCTGTGATCTCTGCAAGCACTGGGAAGGGGAACCATCCTAAAAGCTATCTGCACAGATAAGAAATCCCCGTTCCTTTTCTCTTTCTCTTCTATTTCTCTCTCTCTCTCTCTTTTTTTTTTGGTATCTCCGAGACCCATTGACCACCTTTTCATTTAACTTCACTTCGTCAGCAGGTGCCCAAACCAAAAGTTATCATGGGTTAGGGGTGAGACTGTGGCTTGAACCCAGTAGGAGCTCTAAACTGAGACTGCCTGACAGCAGGCCCTTTGAAATTGGTACTCTAGAACCACACGGGACACACCAGCTGCAGTCTGGCACAACTTCATCTGTCCAGTTTCATGCACCAGGAGTCAAGTTGGAACTTTTGGAGCCAGATCTGTGAGCCATATCTATGGTGCTGGCAGGTAAGGCAAGGCACATACTGCTGGCCCCTGGGCCACACAAAGCCTCACTCCTGGCAGGGAAAGATGAGGCAGCAGGGCTGCAGATGCTCAGGGAGGTTCCTTCCTAAGAACTTGAAGGCATCCAGAAGCACCACAGAACATCAGAGTCACAGAGATTCACATGAGATGGGCAGGTGGAGAGGCACTAGGCAGCTTTTGAAGCAGAAGGTTGAGTTACACAGGTGAAGAAGTAAACACTCAGCACTCTAACCCAGCCTGCAGACAGCAGTATGGTCGCTAGCTCCAAGCCCAGAGACACTCACAGGTCATGCGGTCAAGACTTGGGCATCTACCATGCCCCTGACACCTGGTGTAATCCAAAGATGGAAGGCCCAATAAGAAATTCCTTTATCTCAAATACCTCAGAAAGGATTAATTCTAGACTCTTCAATGTTTACTTTTTTCATTTTACTGGAATTATCTTCTGGTAATAGGTAGATCCCCCCATTATTTGACACTAAATACTGTAATCAAATTTTATGTATTTTTTTCTTTAGTGTTGTAATGTGTTAACTGGAATCCTTTTCTCTATTTTTATTTTCACTTTTATACTCTCTCCCTCTCTTTTTTCTCTCCTAGGTTTTTCTTATTCAACTGCCCTTACCTCTCCCTTCCCTGTGTTTATTTTTTTTTTTAATTTTTGGTATTGGGGATTGAACAGTAAGCTGATGCGTCCCCTCAAACCCATCCCACTAAGATGTAATTCAATTCAAAGTGAAGAAAGGTATATTGTTTCCAGTTGTGTTATTAAAAGTACTATATGTGGGGGGGGGGATGCTGGGATAGAACCCAGGGGTGCTCTACCATTGAATGACACACTCTGCTCTTCTTATTTTTTGAGACAGGGGCTCGCCAAGTTGCCTAGGCTGACCTTGACCTTGCGATCCTCCTGTCACAGCCTCCAAGTCACTGGGATAACAGGTGTGCAACATCATGCCCAGCTTTGTATTTTTTTAATGTTATAATATGTTTGGATTTATTGCTGTAATTTGAAATTGATTTGTTCCTCCTTTGTTTTCTTCCTCTTTTCTACATCCTTTATCTCTCTTTTTACTCACACCAATTTTCTTTTCTCTCATCCCCCCCCCCTTTTTTAAGTGATGGCATGTCACTTTTGAGGCTAAATCTTTTTTATTATTATTATTTTTAT